AATGTCCGATCTCGTGTGGACTAGGTAGCGTAGACCGCCGACGATGCTCCTGTAGAGTGTTGCATCCACCTTCGTCGCGGTGCTGGCCTTCGCCAGCTTCAGCCACACCTCCATCAGAGTCACGCATGGCTTACACTCAGCCATGCCGCTCCGCTCCAACAGCTTGGAGGCATACGCGCTCTGACCGAGCATGAGTTCCTCCTTTCCCTGTCTCACCTCGATGCCGAGGTAGTAGGAGAGTGCGCCGAGATCGCTCATTCAAAAACGAGCCGCCATCTTGCGCTTGAAGTTGTTGATGTCCTCCGTGCGCGCGCCAGTGACGATCAAGTCGTCCACATACATGATGACGACGAGCTCCTCCTTCCCCCGTCACCGCGTGTAGAGCGCGTGCTCGGTTGTGCACCGTTGAAACCTAAGCTTGCCCAGCGTGGCGTCAAGCTTGGCGTTCCATGCTCGTGGGGTCTGCCACAGCCCGTAGAGCACCTTGCGCAGTCGGAGCACCCTGTGCTCCTCTCCCTTGACGGCGAAACCTAGAGGTTGCCTGACGAAGACCGTTTCCGCCAGCTCGCCGTTGTGGAAGACCGATTTAACGTCCAAGTGATGGACGCGCCAGTCCTTTGCTGCTGCCAAGGCTAGTAGCAAACGGACCGACTCCATGCGTGCTACTAGCGCAAAGACCTCCTCGAAGTCTATGCCCTCACACTGAACAAAGCCTCGGGCGACGAGGCACACCTTGTGCTTGACAATGGCGCCGAGCTCATCCCGCTTGACCTTGTACACCCACTTCAGGCTGATCGGACAGCATCCTGAAGGTGGATCGATGAGCTGCCATGTCTCGTTTTCCTCGATCGCCTTCATCTCCTCCAGCATCACCCATCGCCAGTTTCCATCACGCTCGGCCAGTGCGAACATGGGTGGTTCCTTAGCACTGACGAGTAGCAGCTCTGTGTCATTGAGCAGCCTAGCAGCCAGTCCTAAGGGCCCTGTGCGGCCGACGATGTCATTCAGCCTACGGAACCACACCTCCTCACCTTTGTGGAAGGCATCCACGGACTCAGTGATGTCACTTGGAGGTGAGGCGAACTCAATCAGTTTTGATGGAGTTCCCTGTTCCGCCGGAGTGCTCGGCACAGCACCTAGAGTTCTCGGCACCCTGGTTGCAGTGCTCGGCACTACTTCTGGATAGCTCGTCACTACTACTGCAGTGCTCGGCACCACTGTAGGAGTGCTTAGCCTCAGTCTTGGAGTGGTCGGCACCACTGCAAGACGTCTTGGCTCCGCCACGGGAGTGCTCGCCACCCGTCCTGGAGTGGTCGCCACCACTGCAGAACCTCCCGGCACCACTCCTGGCGTGCTTGGCATCCCACCTGGAGTGCTCGGCACTCCTCCTGGAGTGCTCGGCATCCCTCCCGAAGTGCTCGGCACTGCCCTAGGAGTGCTCAGCTCTACTGCTAGAGTGCTTGGCACTCCTCTCGGAATGCTCGGCACCTCTTTCCTAGCGTCTCCACCACTGTGGATGACCAGGTGCTTGACGATGAAGGTGCTGGTGAAGCCGCTAGCTTCCCCCATGCTCGGACTGGTCCAGTCCCAAGCCGCCTTCTCGTCGAACACGACGTCGCGTGAGACAAGTACCTTGCCTCCGCGTGGGTTGTAGAGCCGGTACGCCTTGGTACCCTCCGCGTAGCCCAAGAACACCATTGGTGTGCTCCTGTCCTCTAGCTTGGTGAGGTTCAGCATTGTCTTCCTGACGTGGCCGATGCAGCCGAATGTCCGGAGGAAGGACACGCTCGGCTTGCGCCCATACCAAGCTTCGAACGACGTCTTGCCCGTTAGGGCCTTGGTAGGAGCGCGGTTGAGGATAAACACCACCATGGTCACTGCCTCACCCCAGAACCTTGTCGGCATGCCTTTGGCCTTCATCATAGATCAGGCCATGCCGACCACCGTCTGGTTCCGCCTCTCCACCATGCCATTCTGTTGTGGCAAGTACGGCGCGGTGTGGTGTTGCATCACACCCTGATCCACGTAGTACGCAGCGAACTCCACTGAAGTGAATTCGTCGCCGTGATCAGTCCTCAGCACACGGAGCTTCTTGCCGCTCTCGGCCTCCGCACGCATCTTGAACTTCTTGATTGCCGCCGCCGCTTCGTCCTTGCTCGTCAGGAGTTGTAGCCACATGTAGCGACTGTAATCATCCACGAGTAGGAGGAAGTATCGCCGACCACTATTTGTAGCAGGCGTGATCGGCCTACAGAGGTCGCCGTGGATGAGCTCGAAAGCGTCCTTTGCGCGATACTTGGCCGCCTTTGGGAATGGTAGCCTCATCTACTTTCCGACCAGGCAGCTGTCACACAACTCGCCTCCGTGCTTGATGTGGGGTAGCCCTCGGACCATCTTCTCTAGCCGACCAAGCGCGTCAAAGCTGAGATGTCCGAACCGGGCATGCCACATCCACGGTTCCTTGGTGTGCCTTGCCGCCAGACACACCAGCTGCTCTACCTTCAGGTCGAGCAGGTACAACTGGTTCAGGGACCTCTTCACCTTGGCAAGAAGTTGCTGCTCCTGGTCCCTGATCCTAAGGACTCCGTCCTTGATCAGTACCTCGCTACCGTGCTCATCTAGCTGACCAATGCTGGTGATGCTGGAACGCAGCTGCGAGATGTAATATACATCTGTTAGTGCGTGGTGCTCCCTGTTCTGGCACCTGAAGATGATGGTGCCGTGCTCTCGGATAGCCACCCTTGAGCCGTCACCAAACTTCACCGTACCGGTAACATCGTCGTCAAGCTCAGTGAAGTATGCCTTGGAGCCCGTCATGTGGTTGCTAGCACCAGAGTCCAGATACCACCGCTGCTCCTGGTCGACGCCCACACGTCCGTGGTGGAATTTGGCGCGTGGTTCGTCGAGGTTGACAGTCTTCAGGGCCTTCCCAGGTCCTTCCACCATCGTCACCTCTTCCTTCTCCTCGGCCTCGATGTCGTGCAGTGCACAGAACGTCGCCATCAGGATAGTGGCCTCATCCTCATCATCAGCTTGGGCCAGATGAGCCTGAGCCTTCTTCTCCTGCTTGCGATTTGGGCACTCCCGTGCCCAATGGCCCATCTTCCCACAGCGCCGACAGGTGTTGGGGTCGACTTGCTTCTTCTTCTCCGAAGAAGCCCTACCGCGGCGCTTGTCATCGCCACCGCGGCTGGAGGAGGCTGCCTTCCTGGAGTTCCTCCGAAGAAGCCCTGCCGCGGCGCTTGTCATCGCCACCGCGGCTGGAGGAGGCTGCCTTCCTGGAGTTCCTCCGAGCAGCCCACTCCTCCTCTATTAGTAGCAGCTTGCCGCTGTCCTTCGTTGCTGTCGCCTGCTCCAGGCGCTCGTCCACCGCCCGCAGACGACCTATCACATCCTCAATGGTGAGGGTGGACAAGTCCAGCATCATCTCTATGGAGAGAGCGATCTGGATGTACTTTGCCGGCATGGAGTTGAGGTACTTGGAGACCGCCTCATCTTCGTCGATGGTGACGCCGTGGCTCGTCAGCTTGCTGATGAGCGTCTGCAGGCGGAGGGAGAAGTCCTCCACCGTTTTATCATCCTGAACTTGAGGTTGGCGTACTCCTGGTTCAGAAGCTAGGCCGTCGCCTTCTTTGCGCGGTCGGAACCGACGCGCATCGCCGCAATAGTCTCCCACGCCTCCTTAGCCGAGCTCTTCGTCCCCAACGGCTCCCTATACTCCGCCGGTACAGCAGCGAGGATAGCCTCCAACGCTGACATGTCATCTTCCTCATTGTCAGTGCCCTTGTCAACAGCATTCCAGAGCCGTCGGGCTTTGAGCTTAACCTTCATGGTCACCGACCACTCTCCATAGTTGGTGCGAGTTAGCGTCGGCCAACTGGTGCCGCTGACCTCCCGCACCGTGCGAACAACGACCTCCGGTCGTGGCTGGGCAGCCACAACAGTGCCACTACTGTCGCCCATTTCAGAACGCCTGTCATCGCCAGCGGTTAGTCTGGCGACGACGCTTGTACGGCTCTGATACCACTTGTTGGCCCACAGGATCACCGGCTCAGGTGAGTGAACCACTTTCCAGTCTTGCCGAGCACCCGCTAGTGTTGCCGAGCACCCACTAGCCGTGCCTACCACGAACAGGCGTTGTCCGTCCCCACACACTATAGCTAGAGGTTGAAGAAGAGGGAGAACAGAGCATACACACACAGTACAAGACACCAGCGTTGGCCGAAGCCATGTATGGGAGATGGCAAATCTGAACTCGCTTTACTGAGTTGCCGTGATAGTCTATTTATACAACTCTATCCATCTAGTCCTAGTACAGCTGCCATGCTGCAACAGTGACTAGATAACACAGCAGGGCTGACTCTGCGCCGGCCTCTGCATGTGGCTACAGTGCTGCAGGTGAGCCGTTCGGCGCCTGCACCTACAACGGCTACAGTATCGCAGCAGGGAGCCTTTTCGACGCCGCCTTCTCTTACTGTGTGTTCACACAAGCAGTAGTTTATTCTAACAGAGCTTGCCAGCGCTTTTCTTTTTTTTTAAAAAAAAAGTAAAATGAACGCAGGTATTCTTCCCCTCCAATTTTCCTAGAGAAAAAAAACCATAGCTCAGTATTATCATAAATATGCATAAATTAGAAAAGTACTATTAAATGTGAGGCTTACTAGTGGGCCAAGGGACACATGCCAGTGTTTGCTCAGGTGATATTTGCAATGCATTCTGAAACATAAATACATCCTGGTGCACTAAAATGTCCCTGTCAAAGAGGCCGTCTCCATATATATGTAGAGTATGTAACCTAATATAATGAACTTGCATGTGTTTTTGTCAGGTGCTGGGAGAAACAACTATCGGTAGCAAAAAATGCTCGGCGGTACCACCGGATTTTTCTGAGTCACAGGCTGCTTATATCCACTAAAAAGTACTTGGTTCTTCATAATTATGTGGATATAGCAATGAAGTAGCTGGAGGCTGAGGTTGGTCCTATTACTAGCATTCGAGATATGGGCCATGGACTTGTTGGTCGTCTTGCTGTAGGTACGGAAGTTCAGGAGCTTTGTACATGTGCTCTAGAGGCTGTCCTATCGTTGTTCTCTGGTTCTTTAACTGCTGATTTGCAAATTGAGAGTAAGTTTCTATGCCTTTTACTTTATATCCTACATCTGTGATTGGAATTAGTGATTATGTTTCACTTGTGTAATTCAGGATCCTGTATAACTCAATGTAGTGTACCTACCAGTAAATCACAAACATCAATCATTGGTGATGTTAGGGAAGCTAAAGTTTATGGTGTGGAGAGATCTCCTGGGGTCTCAGCAGCAGCTTTTGGCGACGAACATGAAATAGCCAGGTCAGATACTCAGCCAGTGAAGAAGTCCTCAAGCTTAATGGTGTATAATCGAGGAACTTTGAAGCAAAACCTGGATATGATTTTTACTGGGTTAGAGATCGCAACACATGCGCACACTGAAAATATGTTGGTTGGTCCATCCAAAAACTCTAGGTCAGTACTAAACATCATACCTAAAGGAACTGAAAATCACAAGGGGGATTCAGTGAAGAGCTTTGAGAAGGCAAAATCTGGCAATCAAGTTCCTCAGAATAGCTATCTAAAGGCTGCAACAGACCTAGAGAGATTTGAGGACGACAGACATGAGAATGGACATGCAGATCCCAGTACAACTGTCCAAACATCTTTACTTAGGGAGTCCTCAAACTTGATGCTTAACAATAGGGAAACATTTCAGAAAACCCTGGATGCAGATGCTGCTAGGTTGGACAATTCATCAAAGGCACCTAATGAAAACGAGTTGGTTTGTCACAAAACTGGGAATTGTTAGATTCACTCTTATTCATATTCATCGGATCGGAATACATAGTAATAGGAATACATGTACACAGTGAAGTAGGGGTACATGTTCTTGAATCCCAGTAGTTAAAAATCCTAATACACGATCTACAAAGAGGCAGAGAGAAGGGGAGTGAGAGGTTGCAGACCATCGAAGGCCGTAGTGGTCGAAGCAGTCGGAGTGGTGGAAGCGCCGGCCGGGATCTCGTTCGCGGATGCCATCTGCGCGCCGGCAGCGACATTCGGTGGAGAGAGGAGTCGGTGCAGTGAAGTGGTGGCGCAGTGGAGACGGTGGCGGCTTCCCGTCACTGGCTGCGCCCCTCTCGGATCGGGATGGGGAATATCGGTGGGGAGTCGCGGCTCAGGTGAACCTCGTATCGAGAGCCTGCCGGCCCCCACCTTTATTTATAGCGCAGTGTGACGGGGGCCCACCAACCATGTAGGGTTGGGCGCCCCCGATCAGGGCGCGAGAACAAGGCCCAAAAGGTCGTTGGGCCTAACTGGTGGGAGATCAAACCTAACATTCTCCCCCTTGATCTCTCATCTATTCTTCGTTCTTTAATTTCATACTCAAAACTTTCAATTCATATTTTTCTTGCTTCTATCCTATTCCTTTATAGATTAGTGCATAGAGCTGTCTCATCGTCACGGCAATCAGTGCCGTTAGACTAACAGCCACAACACCCCTCTCCATATTAGAATGAAATTCTCTCTTGGGCCCTTCATATGTTCGGGAGTCATAGGCTTTCCCTTAAACCCATGCCGGCTACGTGTTCTCTGAACACGTTGGGTGGTAAGCCCTTTGTGAGCAGATCCACGAGCATTTTGTCTGTATTTATATGCTCAAGATTTATTATATGATCCCGAACTTTATCTTTCACAACATAGTACTTTATGTCAATGTGATTGGCAGCACCACTTGACCTATTGTTGTGAGCATACTGTACGGCTGGGTTGTTATCACAATACAACCTCATAGGTTCATTTATGTTATCAATCACTTTCAATCCGGGTATGAATTTCTTCAGCCAATTCACCTGCCCCGTTGCCTCATAGCATGCTACAAACTCGGCATACATTGTCGAGGATGTAGTTACGGTTTGTTTGGAGCTTTTCCACGATATAGCCCCTCCTGCGAGAGTAAATACATATCCTGACGTGGATTTTCTTTCTTCTCCCGCATAATCAGAATCTGAATACCCCTCTATCTGCAGGGAATCAAATCTTCTATACGTAAGCATGAGGCCTTTCGTACCCTACAAATAACGCATGACTTTCTTCACTAATTTCCAATGTTCAATTCATGGATTCTTTTGATATCTGCCAAGTAACCCGGTAACAAAAGCTAAGTCAGGGCGTGTACACACTTGAGCATATTGTAAACTTCCAACAGCTGAAGCATACGGTACCGCTTTCATTCGGTCAATTTCATATTGGTTCTTGGGACACTGATGTTCCCCAAATCTATCACCCTTGACTATAGGTGCAGGTGAAGAACTACACGCATGCATACTAAATTTCTTCAGGACCTTTTCTATATATGCCTTTTGCGATAATCCTAGAACCCCCTTTCTTTTGTCTCGGTGAATCTCTATTCCCAAAACGAACGAGGCCTCACCAAGATCTTTCATATCAAAGTTTGAGGACAAGAATTTCTTCGTTTCCATTAGTAGATTGATATCACTACTAGCAAGCAAGATATCATCCACATACAAAATTAGGAATATGTACTTTCCATTCTTGAACTTTGCGTAAACGCAATTGTCCTCAATATTTTCCTTAAACCCAAAACCTTTTATCGTTCTATCAAACTTCAAATACTACTGTCTTGAAGCTTGCTTCAATCCGTAGATTGATTTCTTTAGGCGGCATCCCATATTTCCTTCTTCTTTTACGACAAAACCTTTCGGTTGTGCCATATAAACATTTTCTTCCAAATCCCCGTTAAGGAAAGCCGTCCTTACATCCATTTGATGTAACTCCAAATCATAGTGGGCTACAAGTGCCATTATAATTCTGAAGGAATGTTTATATGAGACTGGAGAAAACGTCTCATTGTAATCAATCCCTTCTCTTTGCGTAATGCCCTTCGCCACAAGTCGCGCTTTAAATCTTTCTACATTCCTTGGGAGTCATATTTTGTTTTGTAGATCTATTTACAACCTACTATTTTGGCTCCTTTAGGAATAATTTCTAAGTCCCAAACTTTATTGGTACTCATTGACTTCATTTTATCTTCCATGGCCTTAAGCCACTCTGATGAGTGGTCGCTTCTCATGGCTTCTTCAAATGAGGTGGGATCATCCCCCATCTAAAATTCTTCTATCTCATAAACTTCATAGTCATCAGTAATAGCTGATCTTCTTATTCTTTGAGACTTTCTAGGTGCTTCTGGCACTTGTTCCACGTTGGGCTGTTGGTGTTCTTCCTCATGTGCGACATTTGGTTCTATAGGTTCCTCAAGGATAGGTTCCTCAAGGACAGGTTCCTCATGTTCATTCATTCTCGCCACGGGAGAACTTGCAACAGGTGTTGGCACTATAGTGTCTTGCACTGTCGGCGCAACAGCAGCAGGTAGCGTGAAGAATGGTTCTTCAACCATCGGAGTGGGTACATGTACCCGCTTCTCCTGTAGGCTAATTTCTCATGCTACCATGCTCCCCCTGATCATGTTATCCTCCAAGAACACAGCGTGTCTTGTTTCTACAATCTTCGTATGTCTGTCAGGACAATAGAAGCGATATCCTTTCGATCTTTCTGGATAGCCAATAAAATGGCAGCTGACTGTCTTGGAGTCTAACTTTCCTATGTTTGAGTTAAACACTTTTGCCTCAGCTGGACAGCCCCATACACGCAAATGGTTAAGTGAGGGTTCTCTTCCTGTCCATAATTCATACGGTGTTTTAGGCACCGATTTACTTGGTACTCGATTAAGTATGTGAATGGCGGTTTTCAGTGCCTCCATCCATAAACTAATCGGTAATGTGGAGTAACTTATCATGCTTCTTACCATATCCATTAAGGTACGGTTACGTCTTTCAGCCACTCCATTCTGCTGAGGCTCCCCTGGTGTGGAGTACTGAGCGACTATGCCATTTTCCTGTAGAAACTTTGCAAACGGTCCAGGAATTTGTCCATATGGGGTATGTCGTCCATAGTACTCTCCACCTCGGTCTGATCGTACTATCTTGATTTTCTTATTGTGCTGATTTTCAACTTCAGCTTTAAATATTTTGAATTTATCCAATGCTTCCGATCTTTCTTTAATTGAATAAATATTGTCATAACGAGAGTAGTCGTCTATGAATGTTATAAACGAGTCATAACCATCCACACTTTTCACAGGAAAAGGACCACATATGTCTGTGTGGATTATTTCTAAAATTCCTGTGCTTCGTTTGGCATCTTTCTTAATTTTCTTGACATACTTTCCTTTGATAAAATCAACACATTGTTCTAAATCTGAAAATTCTAAGTGCGGGAGAATTGATTCCTTAACCAATCGTTCTATTCTCCCCCTCGAAATATGGCCCAAGCGACAATGCCATAATTTCGAAGAGACAATATCAATTATCTTCCGCTTCTTAGTTACATTCGCAGATGGGGAATCATTCACATTCTCATCGCATACATTGTTCGCATTCTCAGCAAAAGATAATAAATAAAGCTTGTCTTATCGGAAGGCAAGACCAACACATTTATTATCAACCAGTATCTTACACTTGCCACAACCAAAATGGCAATCAATTCCATCATCATCAAGTTTCGAAACGCTTATCAAATTTCTACGCAAAGAGGGAACATAAAGTACTTCTTTAAGTCTAAGTACAAAACCATTATTCAATTCTAAAGAAAAAACTCCAATGGCTTCAACATTGGCTTGCACTCCATTTGCAACTTTAATCGTTCTTTCTCCTCTTTGCAAGATTTTCGTCCCACTTAACCCCTGTAAGGAATTTGCAACATGAGTAGTTGCACCTGAATCAACCCACCAAGTGGATTTATCATAACATAAATACATGGATTCATCTACAAATGTAATAAATTCATCACCTTTCTTTAACAGAGATTTCAGGAAGTCTGGACAATCCCTCTTGTAGTGTCCCTTCTTGAAGCAGTGCTTGCACTGATCTTTTTCAGCTCCACCATACTGCTGATTCTCAGAATTCTGGGGTTTCTTTCCCTGTGAATTGGAGGAAGAGACCTTATCCCACTTAGGTTTCTCTTGTGGTTTAGAATTCTTGCCATTAAAGTTCTTTCTTTTGTTATCCTTCACAAAATGAGCGGATTCACCCTGTGAGGACTTTATCCTCTCCTCTTCTTGAGCACACATTGAGATGAGTCTTTCTATGCCCCATCTTTCAGGCTGCATATTGTAATTCACAATGAAGATGTCATATTCTTTTGGCAAAGAAGCAAAAATCAAATGAATTAGAAAATCCTCCTCCTTCAAATTCATTTCCTTTAGCTTAGATGCCGTAGTGTTCATCTTCAAAATGTGCTCTCTTATGCTACCACCAGTGAATTTCTCATTCACAAGCTTCTTAATCAGTGAACTTGCTGTGGCTTTGGTAGACCCAGTAAACTGACTCTTGATTTTCTCAAGATATTCTATGGTAGTAGCACATTCAGGGATTGAGTCCCTTATCTGTTCTTCTATGGTGGCCTTGGCCACCAACAGGCACTTGCGGTTGGAGAGAGTCCATTGCCTATGTTCAAGGTCATATTTCATTCTTATTTCAGCATGATCACGCTTTCGAGCAGCGAAATCAGCGTCAGATTCATTTTCACCTCTCACTGGGTCCTCTGGCTCAGTAGGACATGGTGAGGTGATGGCAAAATCGACCTCTCCCAATGCAAGTTCCAATTCATACTTCTCCCGCCACACACGGTGATTGCTCCCATTGAGTGTCGGGATGTTGGCAATGTTCACAATGCATTTGCCTCCTGAAACCACACCAGAGTAAGTAAGAAACATTTATACATAAAATTTCATGTTTTAGCTCAACGTTGGTCAAATTAAAACTTATAATTCATCCATGCAAACATTTTACATCAACGTTGAGCAGAAGTAAAATTAATGCATAATTTCTCATGGATCAAAATTATAATATTGTTATTAACAACGTTGGTCAGAAAATAACAACATCATAATCTCATCAAAAATATCAAAAAAATTCATCACTTCTCTTAAAATTAAATTATCCTGTTGGTTCAAATTTAATCAAAGAGAACAATAATTATCATGCACAGCGGAAAAGCTTTCACTCAATTTCTTGAATTTTACCCACAGGGAAAAATTTCTTTTCTATTTTTCTTTTGAGCCAATTTGCATATTCAATTTTCTAGGAAAAATAGTAAAAAAATAACGGGCTCAATCCTTCTCTGTCGGCCCAAAAAACGGCAAAAGCCGGTTCGGCCCATCTGTCCGCGCGCGCACAGGCCGCACCCAGGCCGCAACCTGGGCCTGGGCCAGCAAAGTGCCGCGCGCTCGCGCCCGCCTGGGCCGGTGACGGCCCGAGCATTCGTAGCCGTTGGATTCATCGGACGGCTGCGCGCCGTCTTCGGGCGAACAAAAACGCTCCCGGCCGCGTCCTCCCAAACCCTAATCTCATTCGGCTGTTTCCTTTCTCTCTCTTCTTCGCCGCTCTCTCTCTTCTCTCCTCAGCCGCAGCAGCGAGGCGAGCGCAACCGAGAGCGACTCGAAGGCGGTGGAGCGGGCGATCCATGGCGCCGTCGCCAGCCCCCTCGCCGGCGCGCGTGCTCCCCAACGGGTGAGCACGCTGCCGTCGAGCGGCCTGGCCGCGGTGCCCCCTTGGCCGAGCCCGGCGAGCGGCTGCCCCCCGGCTTGGCCCTTCTTCTCCCTTCTTCTCCCTTCGGATTCGATTTCTATCTTCTTTCTTTTCTTTTCACTCGTTCACCCGAAAAGGGGATCTAGGGTTAGGGTTCGGTTGAACCCGATTCGTGTTTTTTTTGTTTGATTCGAGTTCTCCAAGATTATCCCCTTTCCCCTCTTCGGATTTGGGTCTGCTTTTCTCTTATCCGAACAAGGATTTAGATCTAGGGTTCGGGTTCGATCCGCAAGACGCCGGCGAGGGCCGACGGCTCGATCTTTGTCCCAGCCAGTGGGGATGTCACTTGGCCATGAGGGCCTGTAGGACCCCATTCATCCATTCATGTTAGGGTTAGGGTTAGGGTTCGTTCATGTTCTTTCCGATCTGAAATTGGTTCAATCGTTCGATCTTTCTTTTCAATAAAACTGGCTCTGATACCAATGTTAGATTCACTCTTATTCATATTCATCAGATCAGAATACATAGTAATAGGAATACATATACACAGTGAAGTAGGGGTACATGTTCTTGAATCCCAGTAGTTAAAAATCCTAATACACGATCTACAAAGAGGCAGAGAGAAGGGGAGTGAGAGGTTGTAGACCATCGAAGGCCGTAGTGGTCGAAGCAGTCGGAGTGGTGGAAGCGCCGGCCGGGATCTCGTTCGCGGATGCCATCTGCAAGCCAAAGAATGACGTTCGGTGGAGAGAGAGAGTCGGTGCGATGAAGTGGTGGCGCGATGGAGACGGTGGCGGCTTCCGTCATCGGGTCGCGCCCCTCTCGGATCGGGATGGGAAAATCGGTGGGGAGTCGCGGCTCAGGTGAACCTCGTATCGAGAGCCTGTCGGCCCCCACCTTTATTTATAGCGCAGTGACGGGGGCCCACCAACCATGTAGGGTTGGGCGTCCCCGATCACGGCGCGAGAACAAGGCCCAAAAGGCCGTTGGGCCTAACTGGTGGGAGATCAAACCTAACAGGAATGAGATCAAATCTGACATTGGAAGCATTAGAACCTGCAGTAAATCCAAAACATGTAATCATATTGCTGAGACAGGCCCTTCTCATGTTCAGAGGGAGGTAATCGCACGCAACCAACCAAATGCCGAGACAAGATCAAAGCGACCTATCTTTCTCCTTCGATTGCTTTGGAACAACAGACATCATTCTCGAGGTGGCAACCCCAGGCAACTGTGATAGGCATCCCTTCTCACTCCCGGAAGATCCTCCCGTCCGAGTCGACATACTTATGCAGTCCTGTCATTCAAGTAAGTAACATGTTATAGTTCATCATTTGTAGAGGTTAGATTTATAGCTTTCTAACTTAGCGTGTGATGACTAGGAATGTAAGAAATCGGAATTGCTTGCTTATGAGGTTGATAAAAAAAGAAGCGAGGCCTGCTTGAAAGTAGAAGTAGCGAGATTGGCAGAGTAAGCAAAAAACACTTGATTTTCTCCTTTTAATGTCCCTATTAAGACATTTAACTTGCTATTTTTATAACCACCTCTAGAGAGTTAGAGACTGCAGGAAAGAAGGAAGCTGGTACTTTCACGAGGGCAAAATCTATGGAAGAAGCACTTAAGACGATGTCTGAGCGGAATCGAGAACCAAGACAGAGTTGCTTAAAGAAATGAAGCCCTTAGGTCGATTTATCTCGAAAGTGCGAAGACCTTGCTTCGTAACAAGTTTACATGCTACTTGTGAGGGAAAGATAAAAGGTGAACCTTCTCCCTTGCAACATCTGCTCGGGTAAGAAAACAAAAAAGAAACGTCGACTTATGTTTTACTTCTCTTTTTTATAGATCTAGAGAAAGAAGTAGAGGAATTGAAGGAAAACAAGCAAGCTCATCAAACAATTGATCAAGTAACCAAGTCTTCTGAGGGAGAGAACAAAGGTAAAGCTTCTCGATATATTTGAGATCATGTAAACAATCTCCTTCATGTTTTTCTTATCATCTTTGTAGCCCTAAAAGATCAAGTTGAGCAACTGAAAAAAGAAATCGAGCATGCAAGTAGAACACTCGAACAAGTGAAGAAGACCTTTGAGGGAGAGAAGAAAGGTAACGCTTTTCCCTTGCACGCATCTTAACTCTAGTAAACAAACTGATCTCCTTACTGAATGTTTTACTTGTCTTGTTTATAGCTTTAGAAGATCAAGTAAATCAACTGAACCAACGAATCGACGAATCATCTCAAGCATTGAAACTGGAAAACACAATGGTTGAGAAGGTTACCCAAGAGAAGGTCTTGCTTATAGAAGAATTGAAGACCAGAGAAGAACTTTCAATGTTGGCACCTTATTTGATTCTACCAAATTTTACTCAGTTACAAATCCTTGGCACGCCAAATGCAGGCTGAGGTGATTAGGATGGAAAAGGACAATCCTTCTTTTGACGATTTATTGGGTAATATGGATGCTCAAATAAGAGTGCTGGAGGATGGGATCCTTAAGAAGGCTGAAACAGATCAAAGGAGTTCATCATGCAAAAGAACTTCTCTTCTTCCTCTCAGATCCAACTCTTGGCGGCCATGGTGACGATGAAGTGCGACGCCTCCCTATGAGTGAGCCCGGCTCCTTCCGCCAGGCAATCGCTCCCATGAGTGTGGAAGGATTCCAGCGATGCCCCAGCCATGCCTCGGGGTCGAGGCGGTCACGTGCTGGGGCCTTCTGTGGGGGCGCCGGAGAGCACCCGCCGTGGCGGCGGCGGCCAGGGGCTGACCTGCCCACTGTGAGATGCTCCCGCCCCGTCGCCGGCGGTTGAGGTGCGAGGTGCGATGTGCGGTCAGGGCAGCGGTGTCTGTAGGCTTCTGGGCGCCTGCGGGGCTCGAAAGCATCCGCGCTGCCCGTTGTCGCCCACGCGTCGCGTTGCGTCCTCCCGAGCTCGGGGTCGGGCTGGACGTGGTGCTGTTCGGCGGGCTCGGGTGGCTGAGGTCGGGGCCAATCTCCAAGCTGCAACTGGGAGATATCTGCCTCTTCTCAGTGCGCTCCGAGCCTTCCCCGGGCGCCGCACCGACCTCAGGGTTCAGGAGCCCCGACCTCCCCCCTTCAGCCTCTTTGAAGGCCGCCCCATCTGGGGGAGGTCGGGTCACTTTCATGGCTGGTCGCTGGCGGCCTTCTTCGCCACCCGGCTGTGGCACCAGCACTCTGCATCCTTCAGCGGTTTTTGCCGCCGTATATTGTAATCGTGTCGTTCCCAATTAATGAAATGAAATTACTTTCATTTGTAATCTCATTACTCACGAGTCATGCTCGGAGACTTAGGTCCCTCATTGGGATGGGCTCTTATGACAATGGCCTCGATGGCCAAGATCGCCGTGCCCGTGCTGCTAGCGGGTTAGTCCATGAGAACCTAGGTTTACGGTCGTTCAGTGCCCTGGTCATGTCCCCTAGAGGGGAGATCCTCGGCTTCTCGACTGAGCCACTCGCATAGTTCCCGAGCCTGTCTGTCGGTGCTCGAGGGCTCACAGCCTCCCTCGGTGGGTCACCACAAGCGGCTCTAGGTCGATACTCGGACATTGCGCGATGGTCGGCCGGCTTCGCTTCTGAGCATTCGGCTAAGACCTCTGGTGCCCGACCATGGGCGTCCCTCGCACTTTAGGTGCCTCAGGCAGCCTTGAAGCCTCATGGGCTAGCCTTAGAACCCTTAGCGATGCCCCTCTTGGGGGGCCCAGTACTGTCGTGCGGCAAGGAGATGCGATCCGACGAAGGATCGGGAAGCATAGGGATAACTGCAAATGATCGAAATGGACACAAGAGAAGGGAAAGAGGACATAGCTGGTAATGCGGCGGCCGGGGTCGTTTCACTAGCGCCTTTCTGACCTTTCGCCCATTCCTCTTGCTCCGTCCGTCCAGTCCTTGCCTCACCCAAGGGCCTTCTACTATGATCCTCCTTCTGAGAGGGCAACGGGTGGTAAGCTTAGTCAATCCTTTGATGTGGCCGAGCCACTGCTGGAGTCGCTCGGGATGAAGGAGACAGTAGTAAAGGCAAGCAAAGTAAGAAGGTCGGGGGGATGGGACATATCTTGGTTTTTGTTGTTGGTGAGGTTGGCCGGCGAAGGAAGTCAGCAGGCGAACACTAGCTCAGGAGACGGTGCTTCTAGGCGGATGGCTCGGCGATGGCCTTCCCTCATGGGGAAAGGTTAGAACTCACCTCGATCGGGTCAACCCCTTCTAGGGGGCTGAGCACCTAGATGGAGGGCCCAGCTGAGCCATCGTTGCCGCCAGGAGTCTTGGCTGCCTCGCCGACGCCCGATTGGCCAGGCACCGCCGCTGTCTTGGATGCTTCCTTGACCGGCGCCCTTCCCGTGTTGTGGCTAGGGTCATCGGGAGCATAGGGGGCGATGAGCACGGTCACTTGGGTGACGTAGTCCTGCTCGCAGTAGTAGGCTTATTCGAAGCTGCCTTCGACGGTGATGACTCCCTTAGGGCCGAGCATCTTCAGCTTCAGATTGGTGTAGTTGGGGATAGCCATGAACTTGGCGAAGCATGGCTGGCCCAGGAGAGCATGGCAGATGCTAGGGAAGTCAACCACCTTGAAGGTGAGCGGCTCCTTATGAAAGTTGTCTAGCTGGCCGAAGGTGACGTTGAGCTGGATGCTCCCGAGGGGCACGACTTCCTTCTCTAGGACGATCCAGTAGAACGACGCCTTGCTGGAGCGTAGGCTGCTCCGCAAGATGCCCATCCTATCCAGGGTGCTGGCATAGAGTAAGTTGAGGCCGCTGCCGCCGTCCATCAGCACCTTGGTGAGGCACGTTGTGCCCATGATCGGGCTAACCACGAGCGGGTAGCATCCCGGGTGAGGGACACGATCGGGGTGATCCCCCTAGTCGAAGGTGATGGCCGTCTAGGACCATCGGAATCACATCAGGGCAGCGAGGGTGTGGACGGCGTTCACCTCCTACTTGGTGATGCGGCACTACTAGCAGGACTCATACGCCTAGGAGCCCCTGAAGATCTTGAGACAACAATCGGCCTCGGGGAACTAAGCATCATCCTCCGGGGCGGCGTCCGCTGGTTTGTCGGCCTTCGGGGCCAGCTTCTGGGCCTTGCCCTGCTGGCCGAGGATGCCATGGATGTAGCCCCAGATGGTAGCACAGTCCTTGAGGAGGTGCTTTGCCTGCCCTCCATGGAATGGGCAGGGGGCTTCAAGCGCCTTCTCGAAGTGCTCGGGGCACACGGCGCGCTCATGGGGTTGAGGCCTAGAGGCGTGGTCAGCCGTTGCTACCATCTCCTCCCCGCGGTGCTTTCGGTCCTTGTTCCTCTTATCACGGCGACGGTGGGACGATGCGGGGTCATCGTCGCCGTCCCCACCACTGAGGTGGGCGGCAGCTTTGGCCTTGCCGTTGAAGTTGGCCGGGACCGCCTCCTCACCGGTGGCGTACTAGGTGGCGACGTCCAGGAGTTCTCGCGTTGTGCGCGGGGTCTCGCGGCCGAGTGCGTGGATGAGCGCCTCGCAGGTCGTGCTGTAGATGAAGGCGTTGATCATGTTGGCGTTGGTGATGTTGCGGAGCTCGTTCGCCTATTGGAGAAGCTCTAGATGTACTCCCAGAGGGTGTTGTCGGCCCTCTGCCTACAGTTGTGGAGGTCCCATGTGTTCCCGGGTTGAGTGTACGTACCCTGGAAGTGATTGACGAAGACAGAGCGAAGGTCGCTCCAGCAGCGGATGCTGCCAGGCTCGAGCTGCTCGAGCTAAGCTCTGGTCGAG